TTAGATAGAGCATGATCTTTAGGAGACTTGAGCCAGTCATTGGATACCAGAAATCTGTCCAATCAGCTTGAAGTATTCTACTCCAACCTCCCAGTTTTAGGAAAAACTATGGAAGAGAGTGTGTGAGTACTGCCTAGACTGGTCTTCATACTATTCTGTTGTCTGTTAGCAGTGTCAAAGGATGAGAGATTCTCAGTTACTGCAGCTGATACCCTCTCCCTGAAAATAAATAAATTTGGTTACATCAGTAGGTACTGCTCTAGTGCTTAACACCAACTCCCAGATGGAACAGAGCTCCACAGCAAGGAGGCCTGTAACGGCTTGTGTTATACAGTAGGTTTGTGCACAGATGTGAATAGTCCACAGATCTGGGGCCTGTTTCAACCCTGAATAGTTTTACTGATTCTGTTACCTGTTTTAGATATCACTGATTACTACCTTTACTTGCTGGGTCTCACTGTATTAAATATTTGAAACACCCCAAAAAGACAGGACCTTTTATGAAGTCCCTTTGTCCACCATTGGAGTTTGGTTTGCTCTCTGTCCCTGTGTACCGCTACCTCATCTCCTTCTTCCACAGGTATCTGCTTTTGGCTTTCTCTTCTAAACTTTCTTTGGACCGTGAAGTTACACACATGAGAAGATGACACAGTATGTTGTTCCAATACCATCTTCTCTGAGGGTCCTGTGGCTGCCTGGGTAGCTGTGAGGGAATCACAGTTCCCCAAGATCCAAAGCAGCAAGGGTGTTTCCACAAAAGCAGCCAGATTTTTGCATGAGTTAGGTAAATCTAGTTTAACCACCCATCTCACTAGGATGACAGTGTCAGCAGGTGGATCATAAAAGGTGGTGCTTGTTCAGGCTTCCATAGGTCTTTCTTCCCAGGGAAACAAGCATTTGATATAGGACATCATCATGTCTTAATATAAGACAAAAATTAACTCCTGTGAACAAAGGGATTCCCCTGGTTTTTAACTACTGTCAGAGGGAGGATATTGCACTAGGGGGACCTTTGTCCTCACACAGTGGATGCTCTTATGTTCTACATCTAGAAAGTGCTTGAGGTAATAAATAAGAAATATGTTATTTTATTAAAAACAGAGGTTGGTATGTAACATTATTTTTCAGTACTCTGTCCTTCAGAGAAATGCTTGATACTTAATACTTATGTATTTGAATTCTGTTAATTTTCAGAATATTATATTAAAATACAAGTCTTTGTAGCCTTTTAGATTTGCCAGTGGTAGTATGGCTGGGTAAGTAAGACAAAAGGGTGATTAATGTCAGAATATCGAATTGTATCTAAGAACAAACAGTTCTTGAGAATTCAAAAACTGAATGTACAGTCACCTTGACTACTTCCCCGAGCCTTGAGGTCTCCCTTTAAAAACTACTTTTCAGCTTCTTTGTGTCCCTGTCCAGGGAGCTAGCAGATTCATGAACTGCTGTAATTGAAACCAGTGCGAATTTCTTGAGTATGACTAATCATTACCATTTCTTACCGAAAATTCACTTACTCCCAGCCAAGATTTTATTAATTTTAATATGAAAACATCCACACCTATCATTTCTCCCCTGAGGTCTTCCTAGGATGCTGCAGAAATAGTCTGACTTCTATTGCTTTGGCTAGAGTTGAGGATGTGAATTCCCCTGGCTAATTGCTTTTTGGATAACCTACAAAACACCAAGGGTCAGATTCTTGGCCTGGTAACGTTGCTTTGCACTGCTCTGGCTTGATGCCACAGCTCCCATCATGGGAAATCCCAGGAGGAGAGTGGTACGAGGTCAGGGTATTCCTGTCTTCAGGTAGATAGCCACATTTTCTCAGCTGCTGTTTTACGTGGCAATAAAGAGAGCAGCCTTAAAACTGCTCAGACTTAAGTGGAGGGTTGAAATGGCCCCCTACAGAATGCTTCTGCCCAGCTAAACCTTTACTCTCAGTTGATTGACCTCAGGTGTGAAGCATCTGGTGACTTAAACAAAGGTATGTGATGGATAAGTTTTCTGAAATGTTGTCCAGGCATTAGCTCCCCTGGGAAATAGATTTTGAGTTCTTACTAGTTTTGTGCAGTCTGACAAACATACCTTAGCAGTTAAGATGAACATTACCAGAGTAAAAAAAAAAAAGCACAGACATGCACACACATGTCATTAGTGTATGTGCTCCTGCACACACAATGAACACTTTAGGTTGCACTTTCTGTCTGTGGCAGTTAGGAAAAAACAGAAACCCAGCCATTCTAAACTTTGCCTTATTAACAAAGCTAAAGTACCACCATCTTGGGTATATCTCCCCCCAAAAATCTGTAACCATAAGGTTGGTTTTGTACCATGTCTGTGGCATGTGACATGAAATTGTTCAGCTGCATCCAGGAAATTGAGAAGGAAAAGCAGATCTCAAAGTCTTTATGGATCTGTCTCTCATTCCACTTTTGTGATGCTATCACACAAACTCTATAGAGTAAGATGGTATTTGCCTGCAGGTACAGGCAAATATCTCTAAACGGTGTATCCCGCCCCCACAGTGCACCAGGCTAAGCCTGAAACTACTTGTTCTGACAATTATCATCTGATGATGCTACATGGAGGACTTTCCCCCATCATATTAGGGAGACCTTCACATGGAAAGGCAGCATGTGTAGAGTTCTCCATCCATGTAACCGAAAGGTAAATATTTCTTGTTCCAGAACACAGCCCCACAGAGTTTGGTGGACATAGGGATGCTGTCCCCAAATGATGAACATTCACTCCCAGAGTAAATTTCAAATTTGACACCAATGTCTAATAAATGTAGAGTTTGCCTTTCCTTGTATAGTGCAGTTTCTTATCTCTGAGCTTCATTAATCTTTTTGGAAGATTAAATTAGTGGGGAAAAATCAAACCAAATCAAAAATTATTTTTCTTAATCATTAATTTTAATTGGTTAAATTTGATTAGTCAGCAGTTTACTGTAATTTGTACTACCTGTCATCTGGTTATGTGGCTGCTGCTTCTCATGAGTGCCATGCAAGAGAGTAGGTTTGTCACAAGAGGTAGAGTCAAAGTGTTAATGATCAGCTCAGGTGCTCCCAGAGCAGGTCTTGTAGAGCCCTTGTGGGCTTTACCCCCACTCACTGGTTTTGTACCCAGCATAGGCTCCAAGGTATGGTGGATAGAGGTGAAAATACCACTGTAAGCTTTGCCTTCAAAATCAAAGGTTCTTTGTTGACCAGACTATTTCTAAATCAGCAACACTCTCCCTCACTGATAAAAAAGTGAATTGCCAGTTGTTAGTCAACAGCCAAAAAAAAACCCAAACCTGAAGCCTTTTTCACCAGGAGGAAATACATTGGGTGCCTGGTCTGGAATTTGTGAGGGACAGAGCAGTGGGGGTTCACACAAGTGTGCCCTGCTCTCTCAAGCATTCAGGCTGGTGGTCCCGTGGGACCGTGCAGGAGGAACACCCAGCTGCACTTGTGTGACCCCGTGGTCAGCCCAGGCCCAGGCTGATGTGCCGCAGGAGGAGCCACATCTGTCCTTGCTCTGCGGGATGGAGGTCATCAGCCTGCCAAGCTTTCCAGGAAAGAGGGAGTGGCCAGAGAGTCTTGAGTTACTGAGCATGGACCACCTGGAAAATAGTGTGCAGCAAGCACTTGTCCTACCTCTAGACACTCCACAGTAAGGAGTAAGGAATGCTGAATTGGCTTTGAACTCCCACCCAAACTCGCTTTGAAGAAATGGAAGGGCAGGCAAGTAACACTCATGTTGTTATGAAAAAATGGCAATAGCATTTCTGCATTTTAGTCTGTAACAGAGGTTGGTTCGGATTACAATATTTGCATCTAGACTTGAAACGCATATGAGCTTGAGTCTGTCTGGGGACAGGGACTGTTTGGAAAGCTCAGACCTCTGACCAGCAGTACCCTGCAACTTTGATGTGTTTCTAGCTCTGATAGAGAAAAGGGAAAGAAAAAAAATTCTCTTTGCATTAAGGAGAAAGCATATTAATAATGCTGCCAGTATTTGATGATTGGGGAAAAAATCTTAGTATCTTGAAAGGCGAAGTTGGGAAATAGCTATCTTTTATTTCAAGAAATCAGGGTTGTAAAAATTATAGCTGTAAAACACACAGCAGCCTGAACCTTCTACATAAAACCTCCTGTATTTTATGCCTCCTTTTCTATTTAAGGTCTTCATTTGCCTAATTACTACTCAGAGGCTGGCAGAGATTTTCCCTGCAGCGCTCAGCTCTGCTGACTGCAGAGACCCTACCTGGCACACTAACTTAGTGCGTCAGCATTCTAGGTAGAAATGAATGAAAAATCAATCAGGGCAACTGCAGTGGTAGCATATACAACTCTAACCTACTTTGTGCATGGTTTTGAACATTTCATTCTGTATTTAGGCATCTTTCAAAATGGTAAGTGGATCTGAAATAAAATAGATCTTTTCAGTCGGTTTAGGAAATGTTTTGTCATCTTACTGCTTAGCTCAAGCAAACTTACTACCCTGACTGCTAAGTTAACTTGCAGTCTTGACTGAAATGCCAAAAGCCTACGAGAAGATTGTTTTAATCTTGAAAATCTATCACCAGCAGACTGCATCATGCAGTGGATGCAGATGTAGTAACAGCTTTGATTGTTTTAACTGTATTTACAGACCAGATCTCGAGTAGGTCTGGAAAACAAAAAGTACACTAGAACCTTTTCTGAAACACAGGTATTGCTTACATATGGTCTCACAAGGAGTTTTGTTTATGCATATTTGTGTCTGTGCTTCTTTTTTCATGCTGTATTTCTGCACAGGCAGAGTTAAATATGGATTGCCAGTTTCATTTATTGAAAGCCCATGATAAAAAGGTCCAGTCTTCATACCTAAAAAATCAGTAGCTGTTGTAACTTTTTCAGCTGAGTTAAATATGTTATAGATCCCTCTTAAGATCACTGCTGTAACAAGTTGTGCAGTGCACAAGGTTTCAAAAAATTCACAAGCTTCTTTATATCTGATGCTCTTACAGTGAAGAAGATTCTTTTGACTATAAAGATGAAGAGTCTACTTTTTCTGGTGCTGATTTCTGTCTGCTGGGCTGAACCTCACCCTGACAACTCAAGTCTGGAGCATGAAAGAATTATTCACATTCAAGGTAAGGAAATACATGAGAAAATACCAGTCTCTTCAGCTTGCTGGGGGAAACAGAATGATGTGTTCAACAATCCTTAATTTTTTATTTTGCTGCACTGCTTTTTAAATACTATTATTACTGGTGACCAAACCTTTTCTGCTTCTGTTGCATTATTATTACTCCTAAGGATAGTTAAAAAAATGAAAGTTACACTGTTTAATAACACTTTGCCACAACCTTGCAAAGAATAGTGAGTAAAGTACAGCATGATTTAAGATAAAGAAAAAAGCATGCATCCTAAAGTAATAAGCAACTGCAATGGGTTGAAATACCTTTAGTTTATTGTGGAATATATTCAATTTTAAGAAGACTGTCATACATAGTTCTTCACATTACAGAAATTTACTGCTGGTTATTATTTAAAAAGACTCAGCACATCTGAGATCATAATAGGGCAATTTAAACAAGAGAGAAAAAAAAATAGCTTACCCCAAAAGAAATGTGTCTTTCCTCATACCTTTAATTTACACTAAGTATTATACTGGCCTTTTGCATAATCCTGTTTGGTTCATGTCTGAATCCTAGAGTTTATAGTTGTAGCAGGATTCGAGTCTGCAGTACAATGCAGCTGTTTTCTCAGTCCCAGCTTCAGTCGTTGAGGGTCATCCTTTATAAGAAAAACCAGGGGATATATGCAGTAAGGACAGGCAGAACTAAGAGGGGTTTTCCTGCTTCTATTTATATTGAGACTAAAAATAATCTTGCAAAATTAAGAAACGTGGCAATTTTGTGCTCTCTCTTTAAAGTTTGATTCCTTTCTCTCAACAGCTGGCAAATTGTTATTTGAGTGTTTGTGTAAATATGGATTACCAAGTTAGGGCAGGTTACTAAGAAAGCCTGAACATTTAGAAGTTCACAGAAAAGTCAGAGAGTTAAAGGTACCCTGCATCTATTAAAACAGGCACTAGGATTGTCAAGGTCAAATAAGGAATAACAGATAACTGGTTTCACTTTAAGGAACTCACAGGATGAAGGTCAAATAAATGTGTTACATATCACTGTTGTGAGATGATGAACATTCACTCCCAGAGTAAATTTCAAATTTGACACCAGTGTCTAATAAATGTAGAGTTTGCCTTTCCTTGTATAGTGCAGTTTCTTATCTCTGAGCTTCATTAATCTTTTTGGAAGATTAAATTAGTGGGAAAAAAATCAAACCAAATCATTTTTTTTTTCTTAATCATTAATGTGTTAAATTTGATTAGCCAGCAGTTTACTGTAACTTGCAAGTCATACATGTTGCTTTTTGCTAGTCCTTTGGCATGGTACAGTGCAGTCTACAAGTGCTAATTGTTCAGAGATGATAAACGTCTCAAGATGGACCATTCTCCTTACCCATGAAAAGTCACCCGAACCTCGAGTTTATTCCTTCAAGGAAAGATTGAATAAAGCTAAAAATTGAGCTCTAACATGAACTTTGTACATCAGCTGATTCAGGCTCTGAAATACACAGACCACAAATCAAGAAAATAAAACTGCTTGGAACTTGGTATTTTTACTATTACATTTTTTCATTTCTCTCTACATTGTGGAATCCCATTGGGGTTGGGATTCCGCTCTGCCCAAACACGTGCAATGATCTACACCTGGAAATGAGCTGGAAATCAGGGAAGCTTGTGGAACATGTGTTATAGCTTCATACGAAAGGTATTTTATATTGTGTTACAGAATATAGCATCCCTCTTCACAACTGAAATCCAAGAGATGTGTAGCAAACTCCTCCTGGATTGAATGCTTTGCAATGCCTTGGAATTACAAAAGGTGTGGATAGATGTTATGTAGTCAAGTACACAGAGTTGTGAAGGATCTCCTGAGGCAATGAACTAAACTGCCTTCTATTCTCCTTTATTTACATCAAGTAATCTCCCGAAGGTTTACTCTCATTAAAAAAAAAAAACAAAAAAAAAAACCCACCAAGATTTCAAGTCTCCTTACTACAAGATTGTTTGGGAACCTGTTTTTCTGATAGGAAAAACACTCTCCTAACTCTCCATGTTTATTCACAACCATTGTGTATAGCCTTATGCTTCTTCTAGTGTTTTCCTTAGCTTCAAATAACAATTTTTTTCTTCTCTGATGTTCACTTTAAAACATTAAGATGACATTCCTCACAGCTATCACTTAAGTAAACTTTTTCAAATTCTTCTCTAAGTGTATAACCTCCAGTTACCTGGTAATGTTAGTTCATCTCTACACTGGTTCTATAGATTCATACTTATTGAGTGCACTCGGACAGGATTTTATTCCATATTTTAAACTAGCATTAGTATTTTTATTTTTGAGCTAACAGTGCTTTGTTTTCCAGATCTTGGGTCAAATTTGTACTTTTCCCAGCCATGTGGTAGTGCTGATCTATAGTCTATTGTGATAGACAGTATTTAGCAGTTGTTCTCCCTCATTATCACTTGCAGTTAACACATAGGAGGTTTATATCAGTAATTCTTCATACCAGGCCTTAAAAATCTAGATTATACATTCAGTATTAAATGTTATCATACTTTTTCCACCCTTCTTTCTTCAAACATTCTAAATATCCATTTTCCTCCCTTCAATGCTGAATATGCCATGTGAAAATTTTATTAATTCAACAGCCACATATATTTTGTAATGTAAAAGTAGTGGTAATACTAAACAATCACAAAAATTATACTGGAGATGGTTCAGTGGTTTGGTTTTTTTTTTTTTTTAGGCTAATCATTTATTCTTCAGCCCAACAAATTGCAGTCTCTGTATCTAGTTCTTAGAAACTTAGCAAAGTTTCTGCCAAAGCACCTGTTTTCCTCATCCTGTCTAATTTCATATTTTCCCCGTGTCACTCACGTCCTTGTAGTAACACCAGTTCTTCAGGCTGTGAGGTTTTCTACCCTTTTTTTGAACAGGATATGCTTTCTGAGTTCAGCTTTCATCTTTGTTTTCATTTCACATCACTGCACTCATGTACTTTAAACAACATCATACTTTCAGAGCATCAAAGCCAATGCTGTTAAAAAGAGAGGATTTGTTAATATAGCACTTGGGTAATTTCTTTATTACCTCCCACCTTTATCTGTGTAGTGACTCCGTACTACAAAATGAACCTGTGCCTGTTCAAAAGACTTTTTCACTGCTGCAGTAAGATCTTTTACAGTCCTTCCTGACATGCTTTCGATCCATGCTCCATTTCATCCCTACTATCATTTCTTATTTGTTCACAGCCTGCTGAAGCACTAATGTACAGTGTCACCTCATCACATCTATCTTTCATTTGGCCTTCCTAAAGGGCAGTCACCTATTAATACTGTATTACAGTCTGACAGCTATTTCAGTGTGCTTCTGACTCCTTTAACAACTCTATGTCAGGAACTGGAAGATCTAGTTATCCCACTTTGCTGCCCCTACATTTGTATAAAAGCTCCTGCCATCTCTTTTACACTCAGCATTTGGCTAACCAAAATTAACAGTATTTCATAAATTGTATTTTTCTCTGATTACACGGACAGGTCATTGCTTTTATGAACACAGAGCTCAAATGTCCATTCTCTTGAAACTGTGGATTTCTTTAGCTTTACTAAACACTTGCCAACCTCTTTAACATTGCAATAGGAATAGATATATTGCCTGGTAAATCTTTTAATTTTTCTTAGAAATGAGTCACTGGCTTCATAAATATCTCTGTTCTGCTCTCAGTGTCAAGTCTAGTTCCTGGTTCTCCCCTTGTTGGTTAATACAGTGAAACTGGACCTCAAATTTCTCATCCACCAGACAGTTTAACCCCCTACCGTTGGCAGTATTTTCTGCTTCTTTCCCCTAGCCCACTTCTTTTGTTTAAACCTTTTCTTCTTTGGTTTTATTCCAATATCTATGAACGAAATTTATCAAATATCTAAAGCTGCATTTTATCTCTTGTGTGACTTTATTTTCTTTCCTGAAGCTTGTGGTGGATTTCATGGTTGCTGCTCTATTAACCCAGACTGCTTGGCCATATCACCTTCCTCTCTGGTAGTTTGTCTGCATACAAAAGTCATTCCAGTTTAACTTCTGTGGATAAAAGCAAATGAGATAACTATATTTAAGTAAGATGTGTTGTTCTCCTCATGACTCCACCCCAGTAAATTGTGTGTGCCTTAGGGGATGCCAGTTTTGCTCTTTAAAAAAAATAATAATCCTAAATGAAATAATCTCGTAAATGTGAAAATGGGACAAAAGTCACATAATAACAGCATAAGCATCCACAACAAGAATACAATACCAGTCTAAGCATATCAATGTAATTAAAGACTCATATTTTTCTCTGAAGTCAAGATCTGCAAAGGACTCTGTGACCCATGAGAGAGGAAGATGGTTCTTTCCAGTGCTCAGCTTTGGATATCTCTCTAATCTATTCATAGTGCTAGTTGCTGAATTCAAAGAGGCAGAGTACCCTTTAGAGATAAGAGCATTCTTCTGTGTGTAGCTGTTCTGCAAAATAAACAGTTGACTAAGCCATTACAGTAATTACTAAGTTAATTACTTAAAGGGTGGCAGGAGCCTTTAACATATGTCTCCAGTTTGTTCAGCAACAACAAAAAAGGCTAGTGAACAGAATATTGTGAAGGATCAACCTTTAACTTTTTAGCTTTTCCTTGAATATAAGTGAATTTATATTTTGTGGCGGTTTTTTACCTTTCAGATGCAAGAATACACCCATTTTCCTATCAAGATCTCTGCACACATTTATTTATACATACCAAGAAATATAGCAACATGGAATGAACAGAAAACTTTCTAATATTGACCTATTAAAAAAGAAAGTTTAATCAATTAATAACAAAAGCAGAAGAAATCTTTGCCCAACTTGTTCTACATGATAATGAGTTTTATTTACAGTCCCCTTCCTGTTCTTCAAAACAAGCCAGGACCAACAGAGAGGAAGAAGCTGCATAGACTTGCTGGACTGTCTAAAACCATTATAAGAATTTAGATGCACTACTGGTTTGACATCT